ATCAGTAGAGCTGATTGGAATCAGCTGAGTGCTGAGAACCAGCTCCCAGGAGGATCCACAGCGCCCTCTGGTGGGCAACCTCTGGATCCCAACAGGAAAAGGAGCCCACAGGAAGGGATCCAAACAGCCCTCTGGAGGGCAAACCTTTGGATCCCAACACTTCTAAGAAGAACAACAGCAACTGATAACTGTTGCTACAGGGAGCTCATCCAGTTTAAGCCAATTAACTAGGCCTCTCTGCCGGGAGGACAGAGTCGTTGCTGAATCATGCTGCCTTGTTTCTAACACAATGGAAAAATGAATCTCTGCTTCAATTTTTGAGGCCTTGCTCCCTGACAAATTGTCTCCAGCTGGTTAAAACCACGGCAATTCTGACATTTTCCCTCAATTATTACTTCTTTTACTATCTCTGTTACTTTCTTTCCATCTTACCGGACAATGAGTATGGATGGTCCTTCTTTTCAATTAAAAACAGATGGCCGCTCACACTGGGCCTGGTTCTGCTGGAGGTTTCTTCCTGTTAAAAGGGAGTTTTTCCTCTCCGCTGTCGCTACAAGCATGCTTAGTGTGAGGGATTGCATTTAAGTCAATGAGTAGAAGCAATCAACTGGTTTTCCTTAGATAGAAAACTTTGAATCAATTTGACTGTATGACCTGGTTGAATTGTCTCTGTAAAGTGCCTTGAGATGACATGTGTTGTGAATTGGCGCTATATAAATAAACTATATTGAATTGAATTGAAAACAGCAAGTAGAATGATCCATGCTTGTCTTTGCATGTTGTATACTGTTGATGCTACCGACAACACAGATTCATAGGAAAATATAATAATGCAAATAGCCTCAAGCTAACAACCGATTTGGCTCCCATAATCAAAGATGGCAACACAATATGGCATCTTCCATTGTGTGCACTGCAACCTGTATTTATAGGTCATAGCAAGCTGTAGTGGTGATCGTTTGTCAAACCGAACATCCAATAAAGTTCCAATAAGCCACTACTTAGGCACTGGGGTCACGTTTTCTTGACGCAGGCAAAAGAAGTTGAAATCCAAACTTGTAGATGTTCAGTTGATATATTTCCTATATTTTTGCAACATTACAGAGTTCAAACATTCCCTTGCTCTGTCACCTCTCTTGCACTGGTAAAAACTAGTGTTGCACCGATACCGATACCAGTATCGGACGGGGCCCCGATACTGCCCTAAAATGGTGGTATCGGTATCGGCGAGTACCAAC